TGACTCTCCCTTCTGCTTCTCACCCTGCACGGTGCCAAAGGAGGCAGTGACGTGATTAAACCCAGCGCTCTGCAGCCACGCTGCTTGGCTTCACATCCTCCTCCATCTCTTGTCAGTGGCGTGACTTTGCAGAAAGTATCAAATTTCTCTCTGCTTACATTTCCTCATCTGTAAACTGGGGACAGTAATAGTCCTTGCCCTCTGAGAGTAACTGGGAGGGTAAATGAGTGAAGTGTGCTGTGAGGCACTAGAGGCACAGGAACAGTGCCTGGTACTCAGGGGGCACCATGAGATGTTTGCTGCTGTGCCTGCAGCTGGCGTTTCTACCAGCTCAGTGATCCTGAGCCTTGGTTCTAGTGGGCAGGAGGGAAAAGAGGCACTGGCCAGTGGTGGCCCTCAGCCCAGATTGCCCCTCCTGGGCTTCTGGATCATGTGTGTGCATCCCATCCCGAGGCTGGGGTCAGACAGCTGTGGAGCCAGAAAAGAACCTGGCGCTGTGATCAAGGCAGCATCACAAGGGGGCTCCAGGAAGCCACACAGGAACTCAGGAGCCCAAATCCTCTTCTGAGAACTTAATCTCCCCACCCCACCCCCAGATCAGCTGGTGCTAGATCTTGGTGGGAGGTCTTGGGCTAATTATAAGTGCTGCTGGCTTGGGGATCTCACTATCCCATCGAAGGGCTTCTGTGGTTGATGGGGCCAGGGTGGTTTTCTTTGGAGAGATTAGCGCCTTGGAGAGGGTTGGGGGAGGTGGACTGGGTGTCAGGCAGACCTGGGTTCAACTTGCAGCTGTCACTTACAAGCCATGGAATAGGTCACTGCACCCTGTCAAGTCTCAACTTTCTCATCTGTAAAATGGAGATGATGTTGCCCACCTCATAGGATGATGGGGGTGTGTGTGGATGTATACAATGTACCCCCAAGGATGGCAACTTCACTGCCATGTCTTGGGTGCTTAGTAGGGTGTGTGATGCATTGTAGATCTGAGTGATCAGCTTGCTGACAACCATCCATTCACATGCTGATCCAGTTTCCTTTCTCAAAAGTAGAAACCAAGACTCTTGGGCACAGATTTGGGGCCTGTTTCCTCCTCCCTGTCTCCATGGCCCCAGCTTCTCCATGGCCCCAGCTTCTCCTGCCTGGCCTGTTGTAGCAGCCTCCTTGCTGGTCTCCCAGCCTCTAGTCCTTCTTCTCGAAGCTGCCCTCAAAACTGGCAGCCAAGATGATCTTTCAAAAATGATGCTTATGCCTCAGCTCCAGAACATCCCATGGCTCCCCAGGGTCTTCATGGCCTGAGGAGCACGTGACTTGGAAGGCACCCTGAACATAAGTGAAGCTGAGACAAGATAGCCTGAGCTTCCTACACCCCTCCTTACTATAGAGCAAAGGTTCCCAATCCTGGGGAGGAGGAGAATTTTGTTCCCTAAGAGTCTAGTGAGGAGGGGCCAGGAATGTTGCTAACCATTCTATGATGCGCAGGATGGTCCTCACAACAGAGAAACATTCAGCCCCAAGTGTCCAAGGTTGAGAACCTGCTGATGTTGTTGGTGCGAAGCAGCCACTCAACTGAAGACTACATTTCCCAGTCCCCTTCTGCATCTAGATGGGATCATGTGACTAGTTCTCATCAATGGACTGTGAGAAGTGATGTGTGTCACTTCCAGGAGGAAGTGGTTAAAAAGCAGGCCAGCACCATCAATGTGCTGGTCAGATGGAACTTGGATACATGTTCTAGTTAGAACATCTGGAACTTAGAGGAGAGCAGAACCACATGGTGGAAAGAGCCTGGGTCCCAGAGGCACCACCAGATGTTTCAGATAGAAATAAGCATATTGTGTTAAGTTCTGGATTTCTCTTTAACAGAAGACAGAGTTCTCTGGACGACTGGAGGAGGATTTGTCAGCTTACCTTTGTTCTTCCTCCTTGAGAAAGCATCTTACAGTTATCCTGAGCCTTTAGTTCCATGGGTGCTGATGAGTAGAGCTGGGACTTCTGCCTGGATCCCTGGTTTGGATTAGGACCCAGAACCGCCAACAGTTAGAATGAAGGGGTGATGAGTGAGCTGAAGGTGCAGGGGCCCAGCTGGGGTGATGGAGACTTGAGGAAGGCTCTGGAGCAGTGGTGCTTGAACACTCTTGATTCCTCCTAAACCATGGCCTGCACTCCGGGCAGGAAGAGCTGCTTGTTCCTCATGGGATCCTAAGCACTATGAGTTTGGCACTGTGCTGAGCACTCGATACTCAGAAGTAGGAATGGATCAGCGAAGTTAATGAACTCTCCCTAGTTCATAGAAAAGAGAAAGTGATGGAGCAGAGACAAGAGTCCCTATCTCTCTGACTCACAGCTTTTGAACCCCATCAGTGTATCCCAAAGTTTAACAGATGATGTTGACGCCTTGTTTGTATCCCTTGAGCATTTACTGTTCCAGCACATGCCTGGAGGCTTTCTCTCAGCCCTTCCAGGGGTGGTTGGAAGGGCCAGGGTGTTCATTTTCCCAGGAGCGGCCCTTAGCCAATGAGAGATGAGAGCTGGGGACTAAATACCACAGCAGGGTAACTCTGAGATGCATCTTTTATGCTGTATCTTGGAGGCCCACAGTGAGACTGAGTCCTAGTTGCCCATAATGGTAACCTGCTTAATAACACACCCTTTATCAGCTCTCTTCCCCTCCCCACTCTGCTTGGTGCTCTCTGGGTTCCTTTTACAAACTACTTGTACTGAAATCCTTGTCTCAGAGCCTGCCTCTGGGAAACTCAACCTAGGACACAAAGTATTGTTTGCACAACCTGAGACATGTAAGTTGATTTTGGGTGGTAGTGGTGAACTTTGAAAAACAGACTACTTACATGTGAATTTGAAGAAGTGTTTAGGAAATGATAGTACAGAGGTATGATAAAAGTTGTGAAGAAAAACAAATGAAAATGCTGCATTATAGCGCTGAAGATGAGGGGTCTCTGGCCTGGCAAGAATGTAGGCATATAGTTTAATTTGTCATCCCAACTTCAGTTTAGCTGTGCTTCCCTTTTTGCCAGGACTGTTAGGAAGCTCAGAGAGAAATCTGCTCAAATGAGTTTTCATCCCTGAAGAATGCTCTGTTTCTGACAGTTTCTGGTCTTCTCGAGTTCATATTTAACTGGCGTGTGTTATGAGTCATTAGTACTGGCTGCCTTGGAACCTTGTTGGCAGGAGGTTGGAATGCATTATAAACAAATAAAGGATGTCATTAAGTATAGAAGCTTTGTAATCAAACCTCAGCTCCACAATCTTGGGGACCTTGGGTCACTCACATCACCTCCTGCACCCCTGGTTTCATCATCTATAAGTGTGGGTGATGGGGGCCTGCTTCCTAGTGAGGATTAAATGAACTGAATGCATAGACGCATCGAGGACAGAGATTGGCGGACGATAAATGATCAGTGTTAATCCTTAGCATTAGTATCATTACTGGGACTTTCATTACAGTGAGGCACAAGGAGCCAACTCGGGGGACTCTGTATACACCCCAATATCAGGTGTAACCCTGAGCCTAGTGTGACATCTAGGCTGAAGCTCTGTGAGAGCAGAGCGCTGATCGCCACTAAAATTCTTTAAGACCTAGTCCCGTGCTCGCTCACACTCAGTACTCGAATAGCTGGATAAAGAAGCAGCTAAGATGGCCCAAGGCAGGCAACTCTGTTTGTGGGCGCCGTGCAACGAGGCTGTCCCAGGGCCCTTCAAGGCCTTTCTGCTGTGGGTTTCAGGGCACAGAGGCACCCTTCGCTAATCCTCAAAGCACCTCTTGAGTGGGCCACCTTCCACTTTACAGATAGAGAAACGGAGAGGCAGAGACCCAAAGCACTTTGTCCAAAGTCTCGCAGGTAATGAGTGGTGAAGCCCCCAGGTCAGCTGGAGACCCCTTCCTCCCTTCCCAGCCCCACCTGCACCCCTGGGCCCCGAGTTGGGTTCTTCCCAGAGAAATGAGCTTATTTCAGTCTCTTCCTCACTGACCACAAAGACTCAGTTCTGTCCTCAGAAATATTTGGAAAGTTTTATTTAAATGTTTTGTGTTCCCTTTTAACCAACACCAAAAAGAGAAAATTGTTTGGCTGATTCAAACAGGAGAGTCGCTTCAGAGAGGAGCTGGCATGTGTGTTCAGAGCTGGGAAGTGTCTGCTTGGCCAGGTTGCTCTTCCCAGCCTGGGCCACCCCGGGCTTGGACAGCCAGTCCTGGGAGCTGACTTCCGGGGAGCCCCTGGCAGCTTTGGAATGAACAAGTGAGCAAATCCCCATCTTGAACAGAAGGACTTGGTCTCCCCTGCCCTTAGGACTGGGCTTGGGGACAGGGCCACGCACATGGTGGAGCCTGGTGGGTTCTAGAGGAAGGAGATGGGGGTGAGAGGGTCAGATCCAGAATGTTCCATAGAAGCTCCAGGGCCTCTGGGTCTGGAGAAATATGTTTGCTAGAAAAATAAGACGCTTTGAGAATTTCTGCAGTCTATGCTCTCTGCCTGCCCAAGAGAAACCTACCCTGTTGGCCAAAGGGGCAGCGGGCTGGGGCGACGGCTGGAGGCCAGGAACTGGTCTGGCCCCAGTGGAGGATTCCAGAGGGGAGCAAGGCAGGCAGCAGGCAGACTTGGTTCCTGGGGTCCCCTTTCTGGCAGCT